ACTCAGTACGAGATGAGGTTTTCACAGCTGGCCCGTCATGCTACTTGGATGGTTCCGTCAGATCGTGAGAGGATTAGGAGATTTGTGGATGGCCTTAACTACCATCTTCGTATTCTGATGACTAGAGAAAAAGTATTGGGTGCTACGTTTGAGGAGCTGGTGGACATCGCTCGTGAGATTGAGTCAGTTCGCCGTAGAGAGCGAGAGGAGAGGGAGGCTAAGAGGCCTCGTGCATCGGGCAGCTACAGTGGTGCTCCTTCGAGGGGCCAGTTCCAGCAGGGTAGAGGTCGCTCTTTCAGGCCTGCTCAGTCGGCTCGTCTAGAGTATCGTGGGGGATCTTCAGGCCGTGGTCATCATGGGCCCCAGCAGGGTCAGTCTTCACTCAGTGCCCTCCCAGCTCAGAGTTCATTTCATGCCCCATTAGTTCAGGGTTCTTTTGCGCCCAGTGCATCTGCTAGTCACTCCGGCGCGAGGGGTTCCCGTCAGTCCCCATCTCCAGTACCGGGCAACTGTTATGAGTGCGGAGAGTTTGGTCACTTGAGGAGGTAGTGCCCTCGCCTTCGTGGCAGACAGCATCAGCAGAGGGGTCNTAGTATAAACACATTTATCCACCTCAACTGAAGAAAAATCGTCTCTCAGTAAGACTTGTTCAAATTTCTCATATCACTGCTTAGGAGCTTGTCTAAGGCCATAAAGAGATTTAATTAGTCTACAAACTTTATTTTCTTGTCCAGGAATGACACAGCCTTCAGGTTGAACCATATAAATCTCTTTTTCTAAATCACCATTTAGAAAAGCAGTTTTCACATCCATTTGGTGGATAAAAAGCTTACGGATTGAAGCTAAGGCAATTAAAACTCGAATAGAAGAAATTCTAGTCACTGGTGCAAATGTATCAAAATAATCTATATTTTATTTTTGAGAAAATCCTTTTGCTACTAACCGAGCTTTATATTTATCTAAAGATCCATCAGGATTAAATTTTCTTTGGAAAATCCATTTACAACCAATATGTTTTGCACCAGGAGGTAAATTAGTTAAAATCCATGTATTATTTTTCATAATAGAATCAATTTCAACTTTTATTGCCTCTTTCCAATAATTAGCTTCTGAAGAAGATATAACTTCAAAATAATTTGATGGTTCATTATCGACAAGAAAAGTTTGAAAATCATTTCCATAAGAAAAATATTCTTTCCTAGGCCTTTTGCTCCTTCTCAGTTCCTCATTAGAGGTAATTTTATTATTTGTTTCAACAGGTGTATGAGAAATTTTATCAGACAGTGGATAAATATATTCAAAGAACTCAGCATTCTTTGTCTCAATTATAGTATTGCAATCAAGCACATCACTTTTTAAAACAAGGAATCTATATACAGCACTATGTTCAGCATATCCAATAAGCATACAATCAGCAGTTTTAGAACCTATTTTTCTCTGTTTAGGTTCAGGCAAAAGAACTTTAGCAAGGCACCCCCACACTTTTAAATATTTTAAATTAGGTTTATAACCCTTCCACAATTCATAAGGAGTTTTGCTTGTTCTTCTATGTGGTATTCTATTTTGTAAGTGACATGCAGATAGAATAGCTTCACCCCACAAATTATCAGGAGCATTAGAACTAATTAACATAGAGTCATCATCTCTTTCAATGTTCTATTTTTCCTTTCAGCTACTCCATTTGACTCAGGTGAATAAGGCGGAGTTAATTCATAAATTATTCCATTCTTTTCACAAAATCCATTTAAAGTTAAATATTCTCCACCTCTATCTGATCTAATTCTCTTGATTTTTCTACTAAGTTGATTTTCAACCTCAGTTTTATAAGAAATAAAAGCATTAAATGCATCATCTTTATTTCTAAGCAAATACAACTTTGTATATCTAGAAAAATCATCAATAAAAGTCACATAATATCTTTTACCACCTCTAGTCATAGTCTGCTTCAAATCGCCTAAATCAGTGTGAATTAAAGATAACAATTCAGTTTCTCTATTTAGGGAAAAACAAGTCTTTCTAGTACTTTTAGCTTCAGCACATATTTCACACTTGTTAATAATATTTGAGTCTAAACCAGATATTAATCCTAGCGACTGCATTTTCTTTATATACGCGACATTAACATGTCCTAGTCTAGCATGCCATAAAGAAATTGACTCAACCATATAAGCAGAAGAAGATGCATTTTCATTGCTAGTATCAAAAATATTAAGCACAAATAAACCATAGTTACAATATCCATTGCCCACAAAAATATCATTTTTGGTCAATACGACCTCATTATTTTCAAATGAAACCTTCACTCCAACTTTTCCTAATAACCCCACAGAAACCAAATTGGTTTTATATTAGGAACATGCAATACATCACTCAATGCTAGAGTTTTACCAGATGTGAGTTTTGGATAANAGCAACATTTATGCAAGGAGGGACAATGCTTAGTCCCATGCAAACAGAAGGCAATGCTTAGCCTTATGCAAATATGGAGGCAGGGATTAGCCTCATGCAGGATGCGGGATAGGGCTTAGTCCCATGCAAATGGAAGGCAGTGCTTAGCCTTATGCAAATATGGAGGCAGGGATTAGCCTCATGCAGGATGCAGGACAGGGCTTAGTCCCCTGCAAATACTTAGGCAGGGATTAGCCTCATATAGATGGGGAGGCAGGGATTAGCCTCATATAGATGGGGAGGCAGGGATTAGCCTCATGCAAATATGGAGGCAGGAATTAGCCTCATGGAGGCAAGGATTAGCCTTATGCAAACATGGAGGCAGGGATTAGCCTCATGCAAATATGGAGGCAGAGATTAGCCTCATGCAGGTAGGGAGGCAGGGATTAGCCTTATGCAAATACGGAGGCAGGGGTTAGCCTCATGTAGATAGGGAGGCAAGGATTAGCCTCATGCAAGATAGGGAGGCGGGGATTAGCCTCATGCAAATATGGAGGCAGGGATTAGCCTCGTGTAGGTAGGGAGGCAGGGATTAGCCTCATGCAGATAGGGAGGCAAGGATTAGCCTCATGCAAGCGGGGAGGCAGGGATTAGCCTCATGCAGATAGGGAGGCAGGGATTAGCCTCATGTAAGTGGGAGGCAGGGATTAGCCTCATCCAGATAAGGAGGCAAAGATTAGCCCCATGCAAGTGGCAGGCAGGGATTAGCCTCATGCAGGTAGGGAGGCAAGGATTAGCCTCATGCAAGACATGGAGGCAAGGATTAGCCTCATGCAAACAGGGAGGCAAGGATTAGCCTCATGCAAACAGGGAGGGAAGGATTAGCCTCATACAAACAGGGAGGAAAGGATTAGCCTCATGCAAACAGGGAGGCAAGGGTTAGCCTCATGGAGGCAAGGATTAGCCTCATGCAAATAGGGAGGCAGAGATTAGCCTCATGCAATTGGGGAGGCAAGGATTAGCCNAATTCTCTTGATTTTTCTACTAAGTTGATTTTCAACCTCAGTTTTATAAGAAATAAAAGCATTAAATGCATCATCTTTATTTCTAAGCAAATACAACTTAGTATATCTAGAAAAATCATCAATAAAAGTTACATAATATCTTTTACCACCTCTAGTCATAGTCTGCTTCAAATCGCCTAAATCAGTGTGAATTAAAGATAACAATTCAGTTTCTCTATTTAGGGAAAAACAAGTCTTTCTAGTACTTTTAGCTTCAGCACATATTTCACACTTGTTAATAATATTTGAGTCTAAACCAGATATTAATCTTAGCTACTGCATTTTCTTTATATACGCGACATTAACATGTCCTAGTCTAGCATGCCACAAAGAAATTGACTCAACCATATAAGCAGAAGAAGATGCATTTTCATTGCTAGTATCTGAAATCTTAAGCACAAATAAACCATAGTTACAATATCCATTGCCCACAAAAATATCATTTTTGGTCAATACGACCTCATTATTTTCAAATGAAACCTTCACTCCAACTTTTCCTAATAACCCCACATAAACCAAATTGGTTTGGATATTAGGAACATGCAATACATCACTCAATGCTAGAGTTTTACCAGATGTGAGTTTGAGAAGAATTTTTCCTTTCCCAAGAACACGAGTTGTTCTTGAGTCACCAAGATAAATAGTTTCTTCTCCTTCCTCAACTTGGGTGTAAGACAAAAATTCATTTTTGTTTGCACAAATGTGCCTAGTAGCACCAGAGTCTATCACCCAATCTCTCACACTGGCCACATTATTTATTTGGGAGATGACCACAACAATTATATTATCTGCTTTAGTCAAATTTAATTTTGACATAGCGAGATTGTCATTTATCCCAACTCTACTATTGCATTGAGGTGCATTTTTCTTGAAGGTTTTAATATTAGCATTGGATATGTAACCATGTCTGTTCACATACCTGTGTTTGGACATTAATGTCTGCCAAAGTTGTGGATGCAATAACGTATTTGCAACACCATGGATTTCTGCCAGGACAGCTGGAACAGTAGCAGTAGAGACAACACCAAAATTGGTAGCACCATCAAAAATTTCCGTAGTAGTATTACTTGCCATAGTTTTTTAGATTGTAGGGAAATGACACAAAAAATAACGATAATAATACTGCAATAATATTATTTGTGAACGGATACACGGACTGGCTTGAGTCGTGCTAGGCACTGTCCTAAAAAACTATTTCATCAATGTGAAATATTTCCCCAGGATTAAACAAGCCTACCTCTATTAGGGAGGATACAGGAATCAGCAAAATAGTAAATTACAAACCCAGCCATTTTAAAAGATGGAACAAAGCAAAGTAGACTATAAATGTTTAAGGAGGAAGAAAAGGAATGAAAGAGGCAAAGTGAAATGTGCTGATGCATGATGGCTATTTGAAGGCCTATTTATAGGCTAATTGAGAGGTTTTAGGCATGCCAAGTGTATGACACTTGTTTTGAACTTCCCATGCAAGTTGACACATGGTTGAGCATTTGTCCATTTTTGGAAAATATCATAACAGCTCTCTCAGTCAAATGTTGTTGCTTGTAGGTCTATAACTTATGTGTAGAGCAAGCTTATGATGCCTCACATTTTCATGGCCGTGTGGAGAGGTATCCGATGGATGATAATCATGTTCCTCCTCTCCAAATGATCAGAGAATTCTGTGAAGATGTGTACTCATGGCTGTCAAATGACCCCAAGAATATTGCTGTTATACATTGCATGGTACCCCTAGCATCCTTTTCATTACTTTTCTTTTCCAGTACCTAATTTTTTAATGAAGTATCTAAATATTGCTATGTTGAGGGGTTTCTCATAGCAATTCAACTAGAATCATATCAGACATTTTCTATTAAGATTTGTCTTTTTTATGCTTGAAAACTGTACTATAAACTAAAATGGAATACAAAAAGAAAGTTTCCAATACTATTTAACTGAAGTGATTGTATGCCTTTTAACATTGTGAATATGGATCATGGCATTGTGAACTTCAAATTAGCTCTGAATTAAGTGGATCTGCTGAATTCTTTCTTTTTGAAAACGTGAAGACAAAATATAGTTGATAGTATCATAGTGTAATTAACTTTTTTTTTTTTTTTTTTGACATCTGTAGGCAGGTAAAGGGCGGACTGGTTTAATGGTTTGTTCATACCTAGTTTACACTGGCATGTCAGCTGAGGAGGCTCTTCGGGTGTATGCTGAGAAACGAACAACCAATAATGAAGGAGTAAGTTATATCAATCCTCTAATTAGAACTGTTTACAATGCAATAGAGGGAGCCTGAAATATATAACATAGAGACTTTCATTCGAAATGGACTACCCGATTCATATCTATATTTCAACAAGACTGATTCCTGTTATATAATTAGGCAGACATATAGCCAACAACAAACCTAAGAAAAGATGTGAAATGCCTGTCGTTTTTGCTTCCACTATATATTAGGCATTGACCCAAAGGGAGGAAATGCAATGTTTGGTTTTTAAGAAATTCTACTGAAGTTCTGTGATTTTTGCTTTATTTAGGATTTTGAACTCTAAAGTATGTAAAAGGAACAGAGAATCTTCTGTCATGAAGTGTGTTATTAGTGCTAACATTCAAATACAGTAGAACACGCAATAAAACATATTGAGGCATGTTTATTTTCACCTCACGAAGCGAGAGAGAATATATGAGATGTTAGTCTATTGCTTGAAGTTCTGAAGGGAGACATACTTCACATATAGTAAGGATAGTTCATTTTCGTCGCAAATCTTCAAGTTGTTCTTCTTGAAGTGATTACAACCCTGAGATTGTTTCCATATACAGGTATCAATTCCTAGCCAACGTAGGTATGTCAGATATTGGGAGCACGTACTTTCCTTCTCAAAGGGTGTTCCTCGTGGTCCTCCAACTGTCAAATTGCCCAAGTCATGTAAGAGAGAGCTCCGTCGCATTAGATTATATGACACTATAAACGTTGAATCCATCTTCTTCGTGGTATCTGAATTGCAAAGAGTAAGCCATCTTACTCATATAAGATTCTTTTGCAGCATCAATGATGACACAGTTGCAAAATACTGAAGGGATAAGAGGCTACATCCTATGCATGATTAGTTATATAAAGTTATGATAAGATGATTACTAATCGGTTTGTGTGACCATCTCATCTAAAAGCTTAAACTGTTAGAAAGAGCACACTTTTATTTACTTAATTATGTCTTTAACATGCCCTTCACGTGCAGACCTAATTCCTTTTCATGGCCAAGCACATTGAATTTATCTTGATAAGTGGACAGAGGAAAGAATAAAGTTGAAAGAAAACTCAAATTACAAGATTTTTGAATTTTTTCCAGTTGTATTGATCTTCATTTTGGTTCCATTCTCTGCTTATTCATTGCAATAGGTTCCAGGAGAGAAGTATTGTCCACCTGCAGAAGTCTCAAAAAGTTGCTGCAGACGAATTAAGAATGGTATTCAGCGAACTTATAGCCCTCGATATTTTTATTCCTTTGTTGAGGAAAATGAAGATGAGATGAAACAAGAAAAGAAGGAACCCCGTTTGGTTGTCCAAATGGACACTGAAAGTTCAATGCTCTATCAGAAAACCTGTCTGGATCATTTTTACGACAAACCAGTGCAAGTACGAATCTTTAGCCTATTCTATAAAATTATGATATGATGTTTTCTCTATCTAACTAACTTTTGATAGTCACGTTAATATTTTCTTCCACCATCACTAATATAGTAATATATACATCAAATTAACCCTTTAGATTTCATTTTGAGTTAACACTATCACATAAAATGGGACGCAGGGAATATGTTTTTCTTCCTTTGCTCTCTATTAATTATAAGTTGGATTATCTCTTAACAGGTCAGTGGAGATGTACGTATCACATTCTACGAAAAGCTCATTGGAGGACGTCTCTTCTATGCTTGCTTCAATACTGCTTTTATTAGGAATGATCTACTGCAGGTATTTTTCAATAATTCAAACTGTAATTTACGATATAACTGAAAAATATCGTGTATATGTTATTAAACTGTAAAAGTAAAGTGCGTAAACACATCTGTAGTGACACAAGTCATGTATCATCGATGCTGATCAAAAGCTCCAAAAAAATTATTGATAAGAAATGAACGTTTTAACATTTGACTACGTGCCATTGAAGGATTTTGTCCGCCCCAAAAAGCCATAAAAGAAAATCAGAAACTTAGTATGATCAAGATTAAGCAGTCACGTCAGGAGCCAACTCATTGTATTACTATTTGTGCAGTATGTCAAATTTGTATAATGATGTGCTACTAATTCTGTTTGAAATTCTGAAAATTTGCAGTTTTCGCTACGAGAGCTAGATAAAGTTGGAAAAAAGGGTAGGTCCATGACTGGTTCTTCATTCTGCTTGGAGTTGTTCTTTGGTCCAGCAAATGGAAATTGTTTGCCAACACCTCCTTTACATGAAGATAATCTTAGTGATTGTTAAACTACTCCATATATTATCAAAACCCCTTAAATATAGTACAATTTATAGTGTTGTACATTTTACATTTCAATTGTCTTACCATCTATTTTTCAGGGGATGGAAGACTAGGAAGATTTCAATAGTTTTGTAAGTAGAACTTGAGGGAGTAGTTATAAGAACAAATGTTTCATCTTGAAACTTGCATGCCTATCCTAGAATCTAATGGAAACAAAATTCTTAGAATTTGAAAAGGATCTAGGTTTTTTGGTTGCATTTAGTATTAGAATTTGAGGGCCAATAGTATTCTCCGTTTGGTCCTTATAATAAACTTCAATATTATAGTTGAGTTCAATATTAATGATTGAACTTATATGCACGGACAATGTAGAAAAAGTTTACACTATCATGGTATTTTAACATGTTATACAAGGTAGTTTGCCTTATTTTCCAAGTTTCTAATCCCACTTCTTTTAGTTATTTTTAAGTAATTTGATAGTGTAAATTTGTTTTACATCGTTAGTGTATCGAAGTTAAAGTCAATGCCAAATTCTTATTCTCTTAGGGAGCGGTTGTTTTTTAAGATCACTTAGATATTTGAATTTGAATACATATAAATTTTAAGATGTATTTAAATGTAAAAATTAAGTGATCAGAATTATTTATTTTTTCAACATCTGAATGTTTATAATTTTGTTTTCATTAAAAATTAATAATATAAATTTCAAATCAGATGATTTAATTTTATATCCACAAAATATAGTAGGTTATACGGTGATGATTGCTTGTGGCTGGTGGTGGTATTTGGATTTAAGGTTTTATGATAGAGAGTTCTTGGAATAGATCATTCTTGAGAAGATTGCATAGAAATCCCACTCCTTTTGTTCTAGTTCTTTGGAAAAACTCTGTTAGAGGTATGCTCCTTTGTATACAGTCGAAATCGGGCTCGTCTACTGCATGACAGATCGAGATTGAAACGTGATGGATTGAAGATCGATCCCGGGTTCCATCGAACCAATATACGAAGTCAGAATGTCCGTCCTCAAGAACATCGAGTTCATGACCTCAGAATTGACCCTGACCCCGAATGAGCTCGAGAAAACATTGCCAGACCGAATAACGGAAGGCTGAAATATCCGTAACCGGTCGGGTATCACGGCAGGAATCTCGGCACGTATCAATAAAAAATCGGCAAATCAGTAAATCATGAGACTTTTACCTTTTATAGAATTGTACCTAAAGTAAGACTCCCGTACTATATAAAGGGGGTCTGATTATTTGTAAAACACATTGTAACAATCATTCAGAAGCAATATACTATTATTTTCTCTTTAAGTTCTATTTCAACTGTGTCTTGACACTGATCGAAGTGCATTCTGTTCAAGGGGGGCTCTCTCCCCAAGGTTGTAACGGTACAATTCGTGTGGTTTGAATTTACTTTATCATACTTTATTTCAAATTACAATTTAACTAATCGCTTTGTGTCAATTTAATCCACGTATCCTTAAAACTACTTACAAATTCAATTGTTATACGATTTTGAGGGTAAATAGTTTGGCGCCCACCGTGGGGCTAAGGATAATAGTGGTTATTTGATATAAATTTCCATAACACACACTATTTTACACATGTTCTTTGAGGTGTCTCTGATTTCCGGATAAAAATGTCGAACTCTCAATCAGCATCCCTACATGTTGATAATGAGTCAGACCACCATGGCGAAAATGACAACGTAGCACCCGAGAACGACGTGCCCTCGGTCGACCTCGACGGAGTCCCGACTGCAGACCGAATCGATGTTAGCTCGCATGTGGCCATCAATGCAAATTTGCCTACCGATCTTGAGGACAACGTCTATAGGGATGTTCGATCGGTCACAGAAAGCACACACGGTGACGAAGATGGTGGAATCAACTTACGGGTGATCTTCGAATGTTACAGGCTCAACAGGCGGCGATAGCCCAACTCCAGAACCAGAGCCGCCCGCCAAGTAGGATTGAGCTCGAACCATCCCAGGAAGTTGTTCACAGAGTTGAACCGGTCTCAGGGAGATCGAATGAGAAGGATTCGGGGACCAACCGATAATCATGAAGATGCTCGAGGAACTGACAAAATGGATAGAGTCGAGAGAGAAGAAGATCGAGGCAAACGATAAGAAGGTGGAAACCTACAATTCCAGGGTCGATCAAATCCCAGGAGCGCCGCCGATATTGAAACGCCTGGACTCCAACAAGTTCGTACAGAAACCTTTTCCTCCGAGCGCATCTCCCAAGACGATTCCTAAGAAGTTCCGCGTGCCCGAGATTCCTAAGTACAACAAAACGACCGACTCGAACGAGCATGTTACCTCCTACACATGCACCATCAAAGGGAATGACTTGGAGGATGATGAGATCGAATATGTCTTGCTAAAGAAATTCGGAGAGACCCTGTCAAAGGGAGCTATGATATGGTATCACAACTTACCTCCTAATTCTATTGACTCATTTTCCATGCTTGCAGATTCTTTCGTGGAAGCACACGCCGGGGCTATTAAGGTCGAGACTAGGAAGTCGGACCTTTTCAAAGTAAAACAAAAGGATAATGAAATGCTCAGAGAGTTCGTGTCCCGGTTTCAAATGGAACGGATGGATCTTCCACCGGTCGCTGACGATTGGGCCGTTCAAGCCTTCACCTAAGGACTCAATGTTCGAAGCTCGGTGGCTTCACAACAGTTGAAGCAGGATCTGATAGAGTACCCGGCTGTTACTTGGGCCGATGTGCATAATCGATATCAATAAAAAATCAGAGTCGAAGATGATCAACTTTGGGCTCCTTCCTGGTCCGTTTATCCTATCAGACCCATTGAAAGAATCAAGAGAGATATCGACCATGAACCGAGGTCAAACAGGGATCGGTATCAGCCGTACAATGGAGATCGAAGAAGCAGTGGGTCCAGGCGAAATTCTATGCGGAATGAAAGGAGAAGTGATCGAGGTCAGAGCACTCGGGCACTCATGAGCAAGAACAACTTCGACATGCCTATCGGGCCTAAATAGGCGCAAAGGTTATCGGAATATAAATTTAATGTTGATGCGGTTGCCATCGTATCAGCTATCGGACGCATCAAAGATACCAAATGGCCTCGACCTCTACAATCTGATCCAACCCAAAGGGATCCAAACCAGATGTGCAAATATCACGGTGCTCATGGCCACAGAATAGAGGATTGCTGATAGTTGAGAGAGGAAGTAGCCTAGTTATTCAATAGCGAGCACCTTAGAGAATTTCTGAGCGACCAAGCCAAGAATCATTTTAGAAATAAGGATTCTAACAAACAAACCGAACTATATGAACCTCAACACGTCATTAACATGATCATCGGTGGAGTCGATGTCCCTCAAGGGCCAATGTTGAAGCGCACCAAAGTGTCCATCACAAGGGGAAAACAGACTCAAGATTACATACAAGAAGGAAACTTGTCTTTCAACGATGAAGACATAGAAGAGATCGTGCAGCCCCACAACGATGCACTTCTGTACTCATAAATAAATCTCGAGTTAAGGCTGTGTTAATTAATCCAGGTAGCTCAGCCAACATCATCCGGTCGAGAGTCGTAGAGCAGCTCGGTCTACAAGATCAAATCGTGCTTGCAGTCCGAGTTCTGAACGGATCCATCATGGCTTGTGAAACCTCTAAGGGAGAGATAACATTACCAGTCAATGCCGCCGGGACCGTCCAGGAGGCCAAGTTTTATGTGATCAAAGGAGACATGAGGTACAATGCCCTATTCGGGAGGCTATGGATCCACAACATAAGGGCAATGCCCTCGACTCTTCACCAAGTGTTAAAATTCCCAACGCCGGGAGGAATTAAAATGATTTATGGAGAACAACCAGCCGCAAAAGAGATGTTTGCAGTCGAAGAAGTGATTCCAATATCAACCCTCACAATGTCAAAGGAATCGAGTTGGGGTGTAAAGCAAGAGGCCAAATAGCAATCACCGACACCGGCCACGACCCAACCGGATAGACAGGGGACTAACGAAGACGATGATTACGGGGTTCCCCGATCTTTTATAGTCCCCGATGATTCCGACGCTACTAAATCAACGGTCGAAGAGCTGGAACGGGTCATATTGATCGAGCATCTACCTGATTGGAAGGTATACCTGGGCACGGGGTTAACTCCTGAGCTCAGAAAAAAACTCATCCAATTTCTTATAGCTAACATAGATTAGCTTAGTCCCATCTTAATATGACAAGGATCCCACCGGAGATAACCACTCACAAGCTAAGCCTGGACCTGAAATTCCATCCGATCAAGCAGAAGAGGAGGCCCCAGTCCGAGGTCAAACATGCTTTCATCAAGGACGAGGTATCTAAACTCCTTAAAATAGGGTCCATTCGGGAGGTTAAATACCCGGATTGGTTAGAAAACATAGTGGTAGTCCCTAAAAAGGGGAACAAATTAAGAATGTGTGTAGATTATAAGGATTTGAACAAAGCGTGTCCCAAGGACTCCTTCCGTCTGCCCAACATCAATCACATGATCGATGCCACGGCCGGCCACGAGATTCTCAGTTTTCTCGATGCCTATTCCGGGTACAACCAAATATGGATGGACCCGGATGATCAGTAAAAAACCTCCTTCATTACTAAGTACGGCACGTACTGCTATAACGTGATGCCATTCAGATTAAAAAACGCCGGTGCCACTTATCAACGCCTAGTAAACCGGATGTTTGAGGAACAAATAGGAAAATTGATGGAGTTTTACATTGATGCTATGTTGGTTAACTCCCTGCGAGTAGAGGACCATTTAAAACATTTGTAGGAGACCTTCAACTTATTGAAGAAATATAATATGAAGCTGAACCCGGAGAAATGTGCGTTCGGAGTCGGATCAGGTAAATTCCTCGGGGTTCATGGTATCCAACCCGGTAATCGAGATCAATCCCGACAAGATCAAATCCATCGAAGATATCATGGTCGTGGACAACTTGAAGGCCGTGCAAAGATTAACCTGACGCATAGCCGCCCTCGGGCGATTTATCTCGAGGTCCTTCGATAAAAGTCACCGATTCTTTTCGCTACTAAAGAAGAATAACAACTTTTCATGGACCCCGGAGTGTCAACGGGCCTTGGAGGAACTCAAGCGGTATCTATCGAGCCCACCGCTGCTTCACACACTGAAGGCTGACGAACAACTATACCTGTACTTGGCAGTATCAGAGATAGCGGTAAATGGAGTCCTGGTCCGGGAAGAACAAGGTACAAAACTTCTAATTTACTATGTTAGTAGGACTCCAGGTGAGGCTGAAACTAGGTATCCTCACCTGGAAAAATTGGCGCTCTCTTTGCTAAGCGCCTCTAGGAAACTGAAACCGTATTTTCAGTG